TGATTGACATGTATATTTAAAACGTGATTGTGAAGGAGAAACAAATAATAGAGTAACTGTAACCCTACTTTTGGCCCACCCTGTAGAAAATGTTTTGCCATCAAACAATGTTTATGTTCTTAAATAGCAATAATTAGTAAAGAAGCTGCAAGATGGTGTTTACTCTTTTAAATTAAAAAGATTAACTACATCTTAAGGAAAAAAATACTCAAGATTCATTCTTACAGAACTTGTAAACATAATAGTCACAACATTGTTCTAAGTAGATAAGAAACCAGCAAGTTTTGTCACTGTAGTGTTAGATTGGCTTTATTATATTAGTTTCTTTCATACTATGTAATAAGATATGAATACCTGGAATACTGCTTTTCATGTAGGAGAAACATTGGGATTATGGAAAAATTCCAATCAGTTTTTGTATGAAATCTGCTTATTATTGGGTTATGATGTGTAATATAAGTAATATTTATAGAAAATGTTGTAATTTGATAATCACCTTATCTTTGTTATAATTATTTAAATACATTTTCATGTATCTGATTAGGTCAGAAGGCATGTTTGCATGTTCATGGAGTCTTTCCATACCTGACTATACCTTGGGAAGGACCACTAGCTGGACCTACTAGTGTTGCAGGTGACAGGTACATCCATCAAATGACCCATAGTATTGATAGTGCATTAAACATCTCATTGGGGAACAGTGCTTCCAATATGAAGCATGTGCATAATGTGACAGTGATCAGTGGAATGTAAGTTTTTGTTTTTTTCAAACAATACCTTTGCTTGTAATTAATTTATGACATTACAAAGTGTACAGGATCAAGAGAAAAAAGCATCAGAAAAAAAACCCAATAACTAAGTGCTTTTGGAAAGTGAACTTTCTTTCAACAGAGGTGAATGGCAAATACTTACAATGAAAATACCTGTACATATTCTGAAAGCTCAAGTGTAAATTTTATAATACTAAAAGATAGTGTGTATTAATGCTATAACCTAAGTAAAGAAAAAAAGTAAAATTTGAAAATAATTAGAAAAAATCATAGCTAACAATTTAGATTATTGGCTATGTTTGTGGAAATATAAAAAGTTATTAATAAAGTAAAATTGAGTGGTCTCAATAATCTATGACTCAAAATTAGATGATCAGTTAAATACTTGAATTAACAGTGAACAATATTTTATTTAATTTAATCACATAATTAATTTATATTGTGGCAAATATGGCAAGAAATTTACAGTAAAGTGATTATGCTGTTCATTAGGGTCAGTTGTTTTTATGCCCCATAGTGTTTTTGTTCTTATATATTTCATGTAATTTTGTTAGAGAACATATGAGCTTGTGTGTTTTCAGTATATGTTATAAAAGTAGATTGCCTGATTATGTAAATGCTAGTAATATTATTTTTTGTGATACATAGAATATTTTTTTACTAATATATGCATAATTGGAGAATATTCATGTGGTAATTTCAATTAATACTTCTATTGCTAATGTATCTATAGTTAAAAAATATTCATATGGAAATTTAGCTAAAATATGATAAATTTGTAACCTTTTTATGTTAGGTCTGTAAGTTTAGTTTTTTGCCTTTTGTGTTATTAATGTTGTATCTTTAGCCCATAACATGTATAACATTTAGTGGATATGGCAGTAATCCTACCAGTTGTGAAAATGAAACAAACAATATGAAAATAAGTTTATTTTCACACACTAAAAGTCAAGGAGTAAAAAATAGTTAATCAATTTTAGTTCTCAAATATTGTATATGTAGTGTGACTTAATTTATTCATATAACTATACATGTTTGTAGGTAAATGTAATAATAGTGTGACATTCATCAAGTCTCTTATCAATATTTCTAGTGTGACAGGCATCTCCCACAAGAATAAATAGATATTTCAGCATTTTGCAGAACACAAAATTCAATAATGTATTGAACCACAGTAGTAAGATGAAACAGGCTATAAAGTATGTTAAGCAAACTTAAAAATTCACATAGTAATCGTAAATTGGCAAACACAAAATGATCCTGTAAAAAAACATCATTGGACATCATACCTTTAAATATTAAACTTGGAAATTATTCGGGAAGCATCAGTGTATGCCTCCTGTTTTGATTTTTATCAAAGCCGTCAATGATGGCATCCTCAGATGCAGATACCAGCACACTTTTCTCAACTGAAAGCACTGCAAGATGCTATAGTCTATTTTGTCCCATTTTGTTTCTCAGCCAGCTGTGTAGACGATTTAAAACACTGAATGATCTTTCACAGCTACTCACTTGGATAGTTAGTGCAACTTGTACCATTTTTGTATGGTTGGAAATATGAGAGGGTCTAAAAGTTGATATATATCTTCCATGGTGAGATTTTCACCATTCTTTTGTTTATGGACTAAATAATTTTTAGCAATGAGTACGTCTTCAGGCTTTAGTTCTGTTTTGTAGTGTTTAGCAAGTGCAGTTAAGTCCTCTACAGAAAGAAAGATTCATGAGAGTGTACTAAATACATGAATTCCCATAATTAGCTTTGCTTTAATACTAAAGAACCACTGGTCAAGTTAAGAAAGCATCCGATCTAAACAAGGATAGAATAATTTTGTCCTCATATTACCTGTGCCAACATCCTCATACCTGTACCAGTTTGTTTTGTTTTAATACAATTTGAGCTTGGACATTGCCAAATCTTTGATGATATATTAACAATGTAGTAGAGAAGGTGTATACACTTTCCAATATATTAAGAAAATCAGCAACTTCTTTGATTGACTTATGTGTGTGACAGAGCACCATGTTGAGTTAGTGGGCATAAAAATGGACATAAATAGCTTTGGGGTGATATTTCTGAAACCTAGCTTGTACACCATCAGTTACTTCAATCATAACAGCTGCAACATCATATGTTTGTGCCACACATTGAACATTGTCTAACTTGTTGACTCTCAAACACCGTTGTATAGATTCAGTTATTGAATCTGCATTAAAATATTTTAATTCACTGAATCCTAGAAAATGCTCTTTCACCAACGATGCATCATAGATACTCCTGTCTTTCTCTGATCTCATTTTCATTTGCTGCTTTTTACTGTTCTATTATATCACATTGAACTTTCACATCTTTGAAGGCTGCCCAAACCAGCATGCTTGCCTTATGAACCACTTCATTTTTATGCTCTCTGGAGGAATCTGGTGCTCTCTTCCAGTTTTTGAACCATTATTATCAATACATCCATATTACATGTGGTGTGTTTTGGCTCAAAGTTTTTGCATGCAGAACAAAATTCAACTTTTTTTTAACAGAGTATTCCAACCACCTGTGTTTCTCAAATCAGTGGTATTAAAAGTAGCATTTTTTGATCCAAATCTGTCATAAGGATACTGTATTAACTGGGCTGCACTGGGCCATTCTCGATATATTGGGTATATCTTCATGAAA